AATTTGGATAAACTTCGTTATTAAAGAATATATTACAATAGAAAAATCCTACGAACATTTAAATTAATTCAATCTCGCCATTGTCATGAGTTAATTATTTTATCGAGTTGAAAATAATACAAGAATATTTTCAAATTCTCCAAATATATTTACTATTTTGTACTTGACCCATGATAAATACATAAAATCCGTCTGATTATTATCAACAAAAAAAAAAGATCAAACTTGCAGAAAGAAAGAAATTAATATCAAGAACACGGTTCGTAGTATTAGCTAATTCTTAGAATAACAAAATTTGCATTTCATTCTGCGATATATTACTGAAAAATTAATTTAAACGTTTTACACTTCGACGAACGCTATTAACACTAGATTTACGGAGCACAAAAAACAGTTGTTTTACATTAGTTTATAAAAGCGACGATAAGACATTTATTCTGATTTTTAACAAGTGTTATCGTAACATTTGCCGTAAGTAACATATAAATTGAATAAATAACTCGCAAATGTATCTTTACGATATGAATAATCGTAAATGAAAAAATTAGTGACCCGTCGTTTTGGCGGGTTCCGTAAATCTAGTGTTAAGAAATGATGCCCGGAACGGATCGTGCACGGCGCGCATATTACGTGTTTTTCCACCGCGAAGTTAAACAAATCGTGGAAGACGCCGGTCGAGCGAATAATGGCACACGTAAACCCGGAAGAGATGTCAGGGTCGTCTTAATTCCGCTATAAGTAGAGTGCTGTTTTTTCATCCTTATTTGCCAGGACGGTGGCGATCGCGGCTGTTGTCCAACTCAACGAAGCCTAATGAAAGGTTACTCGGAATAGCATAAAGTCAAGCGTTAATCGTAAGCCAGCATCGACGCGGGGCTCTGCAATCATCCGGCTCCGCGGAATAGAGTTCATTTTCTTGACCTGCTTCGCAGCTGATGCCATTCCTCGATAACAGTAATTGTTGGAAGTTACGGGAATATCTGTGATGGATCTACGAAACGACGTCTGGATCAATGAAACAGGCCGAGGAAAATTGAATATTGCGCTGGATCGTCCGTTCGAGTTACCTGAGATTTTATGGTTCTTTTATCTTTCGTGATTACGATTTAATTATGCAAATTTTGAACGACGTTTTGTAAATAATTGTCGAAGATTTATTATTTCCAATGAAACTTGCATTATTTTATGAATAAGTAAATTTTAAAATTTTTTTGAAGACATCCAATTTTGGACTGTGAAAGGGTTTATTTTATTTGCAAAAGGGTTAATTCGATTTATATAAAAATACCTGCAGAAGGATTAATTAGATTTGCAAAAAAGCAAATATGATCTAGAAAAGAATTAATTAGGTTTGAGAAAGATATATATATATATATTAAATATGGTCTAGAAAAGAGAATTAATTAGATTTGCAAATAGATAAATATGATCTAAAAAATAATTAATTAGATTTGCAAAAGAGTACGTATGATATACAAAAGAATTAATTAGACTTGCAAAAAATTAAATACGATCAACAGCAAAATCAATTAGATTTACAGAAAAGTGAATACGATCTAGAAAATAATTATTTTAATTTACAAAAAGGTAAATACGATCCAAAAAAAGAATAATTAATTTGAAGTGCTACAAAATTAATACGATCTACCAAGGTATTAATTTAGAGTGCAAAGCATGTACCATTTTAAACACACTAAAATGATTAATAACGGAAATGATTCATAAAGTCCAATTAAATTCTTCAGCCGTTTGAAGCCCCGAAATTCTAATTGAGTGCAAACTATTCGGCTCGTTTCATATCCAGAGCAATATAATAAACGATCCCGCGTCTTCCGTTATTGAAGGGTGCAATTTAAAGTGATTCGCGTGATTGTCGCAAATTTAACACGCACGAATCTCCTTTGCAGCGCCGACCATAACCGAGATGATCACGAAAGAAAATTACCACCGATCGAACGCTGGCAATCTGAAGCCAGACAACGTTGACATCAACAGGCACCCAGTGCACGTCGGGTACGTACGCAAATGCATTCTTCCTATATTGTTCTGCAAAGTTCATTCATCCGTCGGTAGCCTGAAAATTCAGTGATACGCAGGGGTAGGTTGTACCATAATTGTACGTTTCAATATTTCGGACCTGTTAACTCGGCGATCTGCCAATACTTAACGCTCTCGACGATTTCACCGGAAACTATGAACACGATATCGAGATGCGATAAATTAATGCGAAAGCGTTAACAGGTTTTAATCGCGAACTTTTGCTAGTCGATGACGTTCCGATCACATCTACGAAGATAGTACAACCTACTCGAACAGCAAACGCGTACCTCGGAGTATTGGAAACATCTGTGCGTTCTAAATACTTCTTCCAAGAAAAGTCGATCTGCGGGTGCATTAGAAAACATTGCATTCGGTTCTAAATTTCGCGGACCCAATTGGCGGAATCTCTTGCTCGCTGAACGAAATTTCTGACTAGACGTCGACCCGATCCAGGAGACTCGGATCGGATCGAAGAAGAGTTCGAAGTCGATCGCTGAAATATTCCGGCACTTTTTAAAACGGAATAACTTCTTATAAATTTAATCGAATTATTTAAATTTTGCTGAAATAGTAGAGGAACTGATTTATTAGACAATTTCTAAACAAATTTTTGCAAAAGTTGCAATTGGTTTGAATCGACGAAGAAGATAAAAATAGTATGCTTTTTTGCTTTTAGATCGGAATAATTTTGTAAAACTTGGATCGAGGGATTCGTACTGTTTTGAGACGTTTGACTAGTTTATTAAATAACGTCTAAATAAATTTTTATAGAAATTGCAATTTATTTGGGATTAGAAAGATAGATGATAATATTACGCTTTTCTAATTTTAAAATTGAATAATTTTTTTGAAATTTGATCAAGGAATATGAATTGTTTCGAGATGTTAGGGCAACTTGTTTACTGGACAATGAGTGGAAAAATGTTTGCGAAAATTACGATTGGTTGCAATGAAAGAAAAATAATAATCTTATGCGTCAACGGATGAATTTTATTCTGATAAAAAAGTTCAAAAGCATAACACTTATCATTCCAACCAATTGCTTCTTTTGCACAAATTTTCTCGCACATCTATTAAACCAGTCCCCGCAACATCTCCAAAGAAGTTCACCTAATTCGGTACAATTTTTAAGGAATTACTCTTCTTCAAACCGTGCCCGAGTATTACAGCGAGTGACAGACAATAGCATTCGAGTAATCTTTGCATGGTTTGATTTTTTGGGATTTGACAAGAACGCAACTGTTGAGTGAAACGCTAATCGAGCAGCGTTAACAAAAACCGTTTCAGCTGCGCCGAGAATTTCGACCGTACAATAATTAGCGAATCTGTTGATCGATGTTTGATACTGCACGCTTACTGAACGATGTTTATTGGACTCCTAACACAGAGTATTTTGAAATGCAACTTTGTACAAAATAACATTGTATAATCGCTATGAAAAAAGAAATTTAAAAAAGAAAGATCTCTTCAAGACGAAGATTCTGTAATTAGACGAAAAAGAAAAACTGATGTAGAAATCGATGAAGACAACAAGAACTTAATTTTCAAGAGGATTGATTCACGCGAAATTCTCATTGGATCTTTTGGCACAAAATTTCTCTTATATCCGTTGAATCAAGGAGCACTTAACGTGGCGGACAACGTGACAGCACAAAGCACGCCGGTGACAGCGTTCGAACGCAGAGTAGAAAAGAAACAAAAATGAAATAGGAAACTTACAGAAACAATAATATTGTGTATTATAGTGTGACACAGTGTGCAAGACTTGGTGCAAGACTCCTGCTACGATTAACCCCATAGATTTATTGGCTGGTACAGTGACTGTCGAAACGTGATACTGGATCGTGGGAAAATTGATACTTAAACACGAGCTGTATAAAAGCTTCCAACGAGCCTAACTCGAAGCATACCTTCGAATTCACTTTCGGTTGGCTTCATACGTTCGTGCACAAAATTGTGAGACGTTCGAGACATTTCTCGAATTAGGGCTTCTGTTCATGCGTGTACAGGGTGTCCCAAGAATGTCTCGCAATTCGAAAATGATGGATTCCTGAGGTCATTCGAAGTAACTTTCTCCTTAGCGAAAATGCGATTCGTGGCTTTGTTTACGAGTTATTAACGAAAAACGTTGACCAATTAGAGGCGAGCTCGGCTAGCGCGAGGCGGAGTCAACGAGCGGTCGAAGCCCAGTTCCGTTCATTGGCTCGGCCGGCGCAAGTCAGTTGACCTCGCCTCTCATTGGTCAATGTTTTTCGTTAATAACTCGTAAACGAAGCCGTGGATTGTATTTTCGCTAAGGAAAAAGTTACTTCGAATCATCTCAGGAACTCCCCATTTCCGGATTGCGAGACATTTCTGGGACACTCTGTAGAACAGTATTTCATTGCTTTTTCAATTATTATTCTTTGACGTTATTATTAAAAATTCTGACTGAGAGTCTTCAGTTATTCGACATGTTCTCCAAAGAATTTCAGGTGGATTGAAAAAATCAGTTTTGTGAATTATTTCCTAGAAAACTGTTGACAATCTTGCATTAAAATCTTGTGGGATATACGGATACATCTCCTTAAAGTATAAGAAAACATTTTTCCTAGCTTCATTTATTCGATAAAATTAAAAATCGTGCATACAAGAGATGTATTATAATTAGACTGCAGATATTTATGCAAAGTAATAACTGTCTATCTTAATTACAAATTGCAGTAAAAAGTTATCTCTTTAGGAATAACATCAACAAGTAATTTATAATCTGACAGTGTTTTTAAATTCTTCAGACGGTTTTATTGACCCGTGTTTTGCGCATTAATCTTATGCATTTATGAGAAAATTGAGTACAATGTAAAATATTAGAAAGATCAAAAGGACATTAAAGTATATTATATATACATATATTGTATATATTATAATCGATTGAAATTATTAAAAAAATAGAAGGAACCTTCTATTCGGTTTCTATTTCTTGCATTTTTTAATTCGCGCGAAAATCCGCAGTCCATTAATTATGGAAAGAAAACGCAGTGAATACAGCGCGAAGCCTTGAAACGCGGTCTCACAGTTTCGTTCACGGTTGACACGAGGACACGAGAACAATTGCAGTGTCGACGGTAGCCTGATCTGCGCCGGTGTGCAGCCGACGATATTAATTCGATCGACGTGATTAAATCGGAATTCGGACGGTAGTAGGATGGTCCTCTGTACAGTTAATTATATTCGATGAAATGATCTCTCGCACTAACTCTGTTGTTTATAGCGGCCACGGCTCCCTCGTGGAGGCGACAAAAGGTTGTTAGACCATGTTTCCCAATAAAGCGGCATAATTCGCCTCGTTGCGTAATCCGGTGCATAACGAACGCATAACATCACGGTTGCGTTACTGTGTTACCGTTACGCGAAGGCGTCGGTGATACGTTCTAAATGGAGCCAACGAGAACCGAATCCGTAACTACCGTACTAATCAGTCTTCCGTTATCCATCATGATTCTCTCACAGCAACGCTATTTCGATATCTGTTCCCTTTCTGTTCACTCTACGCCTACGGATAGAGGTGCGACTATCGATACGGTTATCGCAAATATCGATGTGTTACCAACAACTCGATATGCCGACATGGCAACGATAATATTGATACGTTACGGATAATTCGATGTATCGATACTGTTTACGGGGTATCGTAAAATATTGCTATTTTACCGATAGTTCGATGTATTGATAATATCGATACATTGTCAGTAATACGATATATCGATATGATAGTGATAACATCGATATGTTATCGATAATACGATGTATCGATATGATACTGATAACATCGATATGTTATCGATAATACGATATATCGATATGATACTGATAACATCGATATGATAGTGATAATATCGATGTTACCAATAATACGATATATCGATATGATACTGATAACATCGATATGTTACCAATAATACGATATATTGATGTGTTGCTGATAATATCGATATGTTATCAATAAATCGATATATCGGTATATTTCGGATAATTGATAATATCTGTATGTTATCGTTAATATCGATATGATAACAATGATATGGATTTGCTATAATGTATCAATAATATCAACAAGATATCGTTAATATAAATGGAAGCTCGGAATCT